TATATATTGGAGAGGGAGCCTCCTGTAGGGAAACAAACCCACTGAGATCAGTGCAAGCCTGTCGCCCACTCCCCATGTGCTGCGGAGCAGGAAGAAGGACAGCTTTGGAGGGGAGGAAGGAGGCTTCAATCACTGCATCGAGAAGAAACTCGCCCTGGTGGAGTCCCTGCTACCACCAGCAGGACACGGGAGGATGCTCACACTGCTGAGGCGAGGAAGTTGGCATCAGCAGGGCACTGTTGAGAGGAAGCTCACACTGGTGGAAGGAGGTTGTTATTGGCAGGGCACTGCCGGGAGGATGCTCACACTGACCGAGCACTGCTGCGAGGAAGGCCCAGGTGGCACTGGTATATCACTGGAAGAGCGTCAGGTTCTAGGACTCTGCATAAGAAAGCAGAGCTTTTTTGCTGACTCACGTTAGTGCCGGGTGCCAGAACCCTGCCGAGAGAGACAGAGGTATTTCTGCTGCCTCCTTCTGTAAGGGAGGTCCTATCCGGACCAAGCCATGACATAAAAGGGGCTGGAGGGTCTCTCTGAGGCAGAGGGAACGAAGGGTAGAGATCGGGGGAGTCCTGCAGAGAAGAGCCCTAGGAAGAGCCAGGCACAGGAGAAAGCTTTGGCCACAGGTTATGTTCCGTTGTTGCTTTTTAAGTGAACCGTAAACTGCAGGGAAGGCTGAGTCTGGCTCTTGCCCTGTGTGTGTGCCAGGGAGGGCTGAGTCTGCCCCCTGCCCCCTATGTCAGCCAAGGATGCCAGCTGCTAACCCTGCTCACACACTTCTTTCCGGGATCTCCTAGCCCTGCAGGACTCTGGCAGTTCTGAGCTGTATGGTATAGAACCCAGATCCTAGGGAAACTGGTGCAGCTCAATCAATGTCAATGGAGCTACCACGATTGACCCCAGCTGAGGGACTAGTCCTGCACCTTCGCTTTGGATCTGTCAGGGAGGACATAAACCAGACCGGCAATGGGGAAGGAAGGACCCAGCACCCCAACCCCAGCAGGAAACCCGGTTCAGTGATGCCCTGGGTGCCCCTGGCTTGACCCTCCCTCTGGCAGTATATCAGCCTCACGCACCTGGGCAGAATATCCCGTCTCCACTCCCCCAGCCAATCAGCTCCCGCAGCTTCTTCAGCACCACCTCCTCCATCAGCACAAACACGGGGGCGATCTCGTAGGTGTACCTGGGGGACACACAGACACACCTCAGTGAGGCACCCGGCCATTGCGGGAGGGGGTTTACCTGGAGCTGCACAGGAGATGGATAGCCCAGGAGGGAGTGAAACCTGCAGGGCGCTGGTCCATATTGCAGATTGCAGACCAGCTGGGCAGCGATGGGAGCTCTGATTCAAGAGTACCTGGGCGTGGGATAGCAGTGGGGGCTATTGGTCGGGATTATGGGGCATCAGCAGAGCTGTGTGTGGGAAGCCACACCCCCTCTACATCTAAAGAAGAGACACTGCAGCCTCAGGGCAAAAATGAGGCCCCAGAACTTTCCCCCCTTTGTGAATTTCACCCACCCCTCCCTGTCTTTTGGCAGCAAACAGCCTCGGCATTCTCTCTTTCCTGTGTCCTTAATCATCCTTGTGCCCCACCCTCAGTTAGATGCATTGCCTGCCTGGGCAGCTCCAGGCCAAGGGTGCTCAGAGACAGGGCAAGGACTTACTGGCTGGTGTTGAGCGTCTCTGTGATCATCCGTCCCACCAGGGCATGGGGATCCAGCCCCGAAAACAGCTGGTTAAAGAAATGAGGATGACCTGGGGGGCGGGAGAGAGAGAGAGAGAGCCTTTAACACAGGGAAAGAGCAGGAAACAGAGCTTGTGTCCTCATTAAACCTGGGCTAGATCCGACATCAGTCACCAGCTTAGCCCTACACTGGGCAGCCCCCAGGACCTGTGAGTCCATAAATACAGCCCCTACAATTTGAGCTAAAGGAGAATCTCTGTGAGCTATAGCGGTTTCAAGGCCATTACCCTCTTTGGACTGCAGCCGCTAGAGGGCGATAGCCACGTTCACCTGGCTGGGCTCCAGGGACTTAGACACCCTAGTTGGTACGTCACAGCTGCAATGATATCCCTTACGGACATAGTTCTGACCTAGCATTCAGGCCCTGCTCAGCAGAGGGCGAGCCTTGTTCTCCCTCTGACGCGCACACAGGCAGCTCTGAGCACAGCCAGTGGGAGGCGGGGGACCCCCTCCGAGGGCTGCACCAGGCCCAGCTGTCGGAGTCTCTCATCACCTACATGTTTTCACGCTGTAGTGGATGACGTCCCGGCAGTGCTCCAGCACCCTCTGCTGGGGCTCCCCACTGCTCCTCAGCTCCAGGTCCAGGATTTTCTGCAGATCTTGGGGCTCCCTCCAGTCACAGACCTGAAGGGACAGAGACAATCCATCAGCGGCCTGCTGAGCTGGGAAAACAGCCCTTCCTTGGATGCTCCCTTCGCCAGGGGGCACAGGGCAAGCAGGGCCCACCTCAGCAGGGAGCCCCCGCCCAGCTGGGGGCAAGGCTGGTAGAAGATGTCCAGCTCGTGACCTCAGGAGCCTGTGCACATGTGTGAGGGGGGTTACTCCAGGCTGGGGGAAAGGAGTCAGGTCCTGTCTAAGCAGCAGCAGGGGGCAACTCAGTTCTATGCACTCTCCTCCCCACCGTTAGCGCCGGTACTTCCTCTCACCGTCCCTGGCAATGGAGGAGTCTGGAATGGTCACCCCCCCGACCCCAGGGTAGCCGTCCAGCCTTTGCTCAGTGCCCAGGACTGCGCGTGTATTTCCCCTGGACTGAGCCCATAAACAGGAAAGGACGGGAGGGGAATGGGGTCCGAGCAGCACATCAGAGAGAGGCTCTCCCTGTGGCTGCAATCCCAGAACGTCTCCCTCCCGGGGCTCCCCAGGACCCTTGTGACAACACATGGAGCCCTTCCCCAGGCTCTTTCACACCACGGGGCCTCGTTTTTTCCCCTCTGCAAAGTGGGATTCTGCCGGCCTGCCTCCCAGAGCGAGGCCTCCAAGCTCAGCGCCCCAGCGTGTCCAGAGCTCTTGGAGATCCTCCCCTGGGAGAGGGGACAGCGGAACACAGTGCCAGTAGCAGTCAGGGGAACAGACAGCACATGCCGAGCAAAGTCACTCCTCTGCTTGCAATCTAAGGCACGAGCCCAGTACGGTGTGGATGGGCGCTGGCGTGCAGCCTGTGGTCGCTCTCCTCTTTAGGCACCGGTGCGGTCCATAACGACGTACCATGCTCCTTGAGCTGAGTGGCCAGGCCGAACTGCAGGCTATGAACTGCCGTCTCCAGGAGCTCCCCTTTAATATTAAAGCCGAGGGTGCGATCGGCACTGTTTTGTATACATGAGGTGGGGCCATAGGGCTCCTGGTCCAGCCCTTAGCCAGGTAGTCTGTGCCCGGCTGGCAGGGGATGGCCAGACAGTCTGTGCCTTGGTGGCAGGAAGTGGCCACCTGGTCTGTGCCTATATTGTAGGGGGTGACCAGGCAATCTGTGCCTGGGTGGTGGGGCAGTCTGTGCCCAAGTAGCAGGGGGTGGCTGTTCAGTCTATGCCCAGGCAGTAGGGGGCAACTTGTGCGTGGCTGCAGGGGGTGGCCTGTGACACTGGTTAAGGCCAGCTGGATCACCGCTCTGGTGGTGCCACGTTCCTGCCAATGGATTGGAAAAGCCGATGATCACCACCGCTCTGGGCAAAGGGCACCTGGAGACAGGGAGAGGGCCAATGATCACCACTGGCAGCAACTCGTCTTAGAAACAGACAGGAGCCCTTTGCAAAACACCTTTGCGGTAAGAGGGAAAACTCCCTCCCGTGCCCATGCTGAAGAGGGGCCACCACAGGCTACCCCATGGAAGGGGTGGAGCTTAGGCCAGCCACCCCTGCCCTCAGGAACCCCACCTTTTCTGCGACATCTGTCCCTTTCCTGACGGCTTCCTCCAGGATGATCTGGAAAGCTTCCTGCAGGAACTCTTCGCCGGCCGCCTTATCCAGGGCGGGGTGGGACAGGGGGTCTTCTGCCATCATCAGCCGTTTCCCCCGAGCATGCCCCTGTACATCAGAACACACCAGACGTCTGTGAATCTCTGTGGAGACCTACACTTTCCTGGGAGAGAAGCGTGAAGCCTGGGGAGCTCTGGACATCATACCTGCAGTACAGGAACCTTCCCTATTCGCAGCCTGCTCCGGCACCTTCCCTAGGGCAGTGGGAGTCACAGACCACCCTACCTGCAGCATGATCCCCAGAGGGGTGGGTGATATGGACCCCTCTAGAATGACCAGCCCTTGCTGTAGGACTTGGTCATCTGCAGACACCACCCAGCGCTGACCATTCATGTCCAGGCAACATGGCCAGCCCAGATGCCGGGCACGTCACCCAAAGGTATGGCTGCAGCCTTCCTCGTCACATGGGGAGGACATTCCTCCGCAGATCAGGGGCCACAAACTCTTGGTGGGTTATAGGCCAAGGAGCATGAGCTCAAAGAGCTAAGGGTCATTCCCCTCCCCCCAGAGCTTCAAAGTCCTCTGTAGGCCCTGCCTCTACAGTTTCCCTTTCTTCCTCCTCCTGCTGCCTGTGCACCTCCTAAGCCAGTATCCTCTTCCTCTTCTTCTTCACCCCCCCACCCCCGCTTCCCCTTATGCTTGGCTAATAATTGAAAAAATTGAACTGTGGTAGCATCTAGTCATGGCCCAGGACCCCACTGTGCTAGGCGCTGTACAAACAGGGCAACATGACGGTGTCCCCCCCCAAAGAGCTCCCTGTCCAAGTACAAGACATGAGACGACAGGTGGATTCAGCCACACAGAGGGAGGACTACCAGGAGACAATGGGACAATAATGGTCAGCCTGGTAGGCAGTGATCTCAGCACCCCGGCTGCCTGCCTAGGACATTGTCTCCTTTCCTTCTGCGCCACGCAACCCCCATCTCTGCTGTGAAACCCTTCCTAAAAAACCCCTTCTACTGTGAGTGCTTTTCAGTGATAATCCGATGCCCACCCTATTCCATAACCTCTGTACCACGGAGTAACCCCTCTGCATCTCAGCGGCACTGCCTGTGCCCGATCCCGTCGGTCAGCCCTCGGGCCACAGTCCGATTCTTCCTTGCAGTTTTATGCCGTGCTGAGAACTCTTCCCGCCCACGACAAATAACTGTACTGAGCTCTCCCCCATTGAAGCCCATGCGCCCCCCAAACAACCACTCTGGAAAAAAGCCACCCAGTGTCCTGTTACCTGTCCAGCGCCACAGGGACAAAGTACAAAGGAAACGATCTGTTACTGCCAAGTAACTCCACACAGCAGCTCTTAAAGGCACCCCTTGCTGCTTCCAGGAGATTTTCTATTTGCCAGACACAAATAGAGTCAAATTCACGTAGCCCCCTGCTGGGCTCAGTCCAAACAGGCCAGCTCCGAGATACTGTACCTCTATGTGCTAAATGCTGTTTGCCACAGAAATGCCAGGGACAGCCCAGGCCAGAGCGATGCTGAGACATTACAAACTCCTTTGGGAAAAGTGATCATTACGGATCATCTGGTGCTCAAGGAAGGGGGCAGGGTGCCCGGCCACCGATGGGAGCTTTCTGAACACCTTTCTTCTTTCCCTCCCAGCCCCTCTCTCTCATTCCCCCCTTCCTGTGGGTCAGGCACAGTGGACATGCTCCTTACCTGTCAGCTCCCAGAGGTGAAATGAACTAGGCAGCTCTGGCCAAAGTGCACTCTGTTGGCCTCAGTGCAGTCCACAGAGCCCTGCCCTCATATTCTCTGCAGAGGTGTGGCTAGCAAGGACTAGAAATCCCAGGGCGCGGCACCCCATCCGACCGCCAGAGGAGGTACAACAAGAAGCACCTACAAGCCCCCGCATGCAATGCACCAACTTAAGTCAAGAGGAAGCGCAGAGAGTGGAGACTGCTTTAGCAAGCAATGGATGTGCATACAAGGTTCACTTGTGTGCAGCCGAAAAAGCAACTACCCGGGGGTGCAAGAGAGGGCACCCTCTGCCCTAAACATTAATTTATGCCCTCAACATCCCAGTATGGGTGAGAGAAAGGCTGGTCTTGTGATTAAGAGACTGACCTGGGATTTAGGAGAGCTGGGTTCAGTTCTTGGTGCTACCACAGATTCCCTGTGTGAGTGGGGGCAAATTACATGAATCTGAGTGTGCCTCTGTAAAGGCGTACAAGATCTGTACAAGATCCCCTCTGTAAAATGCGGATGACAAAGCTTCCTTTCTCCTACCCTTGACTATTTAGACTGTACGCTCTTTGGACAGGGATATCAATCACCATGTGTTTATACCGTGCTTAGTATAATGGGGCGCCTTTAATACAATTAATAAATACATTCCCCAATTTAGCTGCACCAGCTAATTCTCTGCTAAATACTTGCTCAATGCAAGTCACACTTGATCACTGAGTACCAGGTGAGTGCTACTTCCCCATTTGCACCAGTTTTTCTTACACCTGATATAATGGAATTGTTACGCTGACACCCCTGATTTCTGTCTGTCTCCTGCTCTGTGCATTCTCCAGCTAAAGCAAACCTTGCAACTCCCAGGGCAGAAATGGAACAAAACAGACCTTGTAGAGGATTTGCCACACTGGATCAAATGACTGGTTCATCCAGTGTGGCCTCACGAATCCTGCCAACAACTGCTACTTCAAAGAAAAGTTAATATAATCCCATCATGCACCTGGCCGATTGTGCAATGATGTACAGAGGCGGTAAAAAAAAATGATGTTCCGATCCCAGACAGGCTTGCAGCTCACATTACAGCATGAGAGGTACTTGCTCCTATCTGAGCCTGCCAAGCTATAAATGTTATTACTGGATCTAAAAACCATCCACGCCTTCTTCCAATCCGCAGCCGTTCTCCCGGGGAAATGCACAGGCTGATTAAGTGCTGCCTGAAGGCTTGTTTCCATTTATTGGGGATTTAAATTTAGCAGTCGTTCGTTTCAGGAATGGAAATTCCAGCAATTTTTAGGAGGTTCCTAGTGTAACGAATACAACACTCAAATCAAGGGCAGGCTATGGTCTTCTTACCTCATTGATTCTCCACATTTCCCATGCTGAGCCCCCAAGTTACAAGAGGCAGAGGTATCGGGCCTCCTCTCCCATGTAGCCTTAAAGATAGGGCGGGTGGTCGTGCCCCCCGAACCCTGTTTGCACACGCCAGGTCTTAGTTTATGCACCTGAAATGCAAAGCTTGGACCTGAAAACCACCTTCAGGGTTGCTGAGATCTGGCCTGTTCAGTCTGATCCATTTGGTTTGGCCCAGTATTTGGCTCACTCAGATCCAAATCTCCCCCAAAATCTAGAGTGTTTGGATCCTGCAGGGCCCACGTCCACTGGTTATTAGAACGCATTATTTACAGCTGGCAGCACCACAGACACAAAGAAAGTCAAGGTCCCTGCCTTGAAGAGCTTTCCTTCTAGAAAGGATGGACGCCACGCTACAAAAGGAGGAGTGACCAAGGAGAGATGGAGGGAGCAAGGAGAAAGGAAAGCCTGCTCTTGCAAGAGCACAGGGGGGCTCCAGGCACCAGCGCACCAAGCACGTGCCTGGGGCGGCCAGCCGTGGGGGGCGGCCTGCCGGTTGCTGTGGGGGCGGCAGTCAGGGAGCCTTCGGCGGCATGCTTGCGGGAGGTCCAGCGGATTCAGCGGCAATTTGGCGGCGGGTACACCGGAGCTGCGGGACCGGCAGATCACCCGCAGGCATACCGCCGAATCTGTGTTACCAGCGGACCTCCTGCAGGCGCGCCGCCAAAAGCCGCCTGACTGCTGTGCTTGGGGCGGCAAAATACATAGAGCCGCCCCTGCAAGAGCATAATCAGTGTCAGAGCCAGAGTTGGGGGGTGGAGGCGGGCAAAGGGCAATTGCCTCCCCACTTTTTAAACAGGGGACCCATGCCCCCCACTTTGAGAATACAGCCGCTCGGCAACAGGTCAGCATGGAGGTAACCTGGGATGCTACAGCTAGGACAAGGCAGTGGAGTGCAGGGGCAGGAGACAGGTGATGCCAGAAACCAGAGCCGCCTGCACAGTGGAGTCACCAGTGGGGAGCAGGAGCTGAGCACAGGTAGGGGGAGGCGGTGACCAGACAGGCCATGCAGGGAGTCACCCCTTGTCCCCCTGGGCCTCCCCAGCTCACCCCTGCCCCTTTGAGAATATAGGTGCTTGGTAGCAGGTCAGCACGGGGGAGCCGGGCTGCTGCAGCCAGGACCAGGCAGGGGAGCACAGAAGCCAAAGCTTCTGGGAGCCGGAGGATGTCGGGAGTTGGGTACCAGGGTTACCTGGACAGCAGAGTCACCCGCAGGGGGAGCAGGAGCCAAGCATAGGTAGTGGGGAAGGCAGGAACAGGATGGGCTCTGCAGGGAGTCACTCCCTATTCCCCTGGGCATCCCCCAGCTGCTCCCCTCTTTTGGTTGCTGCTTGGCCCCCGCAACTTTTCTGGTCCTTCCGGTGCCACTGGAGAGCGCTTATTCCCAAAGAACACATTACTTTGACCCCAATGGAGGAAAGGACATTAAATGTGTGCTTAACTCCCACAAGCTGTTCCTCTCCTGAGTCAGGGTTTTAATTTGCTTCTTAAGCCAAACTTCTCTCCTGTTGATTCAGTATCACTTAACCCCAAGCTTTCTAAAATCAGGAGTGAGGTCCCCAAAATCATGAGATTTAAAAAAAAAATCATGATTTTAAGCCAAATAAAATAAAAATGGGCTTCTTTTTCTTTGCTTACTGGTTTCTGAGCCTGTAGGTCACATTGGCTTCACATTCTCACACTCTTCTCTGCAACCATGAGGGTTAGAAACTTAATTAAAAAAAAATGATAGCTGAGATGCTCTTCTAATCACAGGACTCCAGGACCTGGGGTTTTGAGGCACCAGATATTGTCAGACTTGCGATAAAATCATCAGAGTTGGCAGCACTGCTGACTGGTTGAGGGGGGATATTTTCATAGGTACCTAAGGGATTTCAGAGCACAAGCCCCAGTGATTTTCTATGCCACTTGTGCTCATGGGGCCCTGGGAAAAATCTTCTCCTGTGTTTGTTAAAATAAACACTACTCTTGTTTATGAGCAGCCTGAGAATAGTAAAGAGCATGAAACCTCCAAGTTCTGAAAAGCGATTGGAAGGCAGAGAGGGATCTGAGTCACAGAGAGCATGTTACAATCACACTCCCTGCGTAAGACAAGACCTTTCACTGTAAATCATTAAACTTTCAACTTTTGAACCCACCCTTATTATTTCACAGTAATCTCATTTACTTGCAAGAATGAACATCACCCTTTTACAGCCCCACTCCGCTCCAGGAAACCACCCCTAATTCATGAGAATCCACCTACCTTCCAAATGTGCTTTGCCCAACAGCCTGCTGCCTGCTTTCTGCGTGTGTATCCCCCTAAAGGAGGGGACGGTGGGGAGGGGAAAGGAACTCTGTGGGAGCAGCACAGCCAGCACACCATGTCAGGATCAATTCCTGCACCCTGGCCTACGGATCCAAATGGGAAATTAACTACAGGTATTAGTCTACATGATATCATCACAGGACTGGCCGGCACCAACCAGGGACAGATCCCTGCCAGACTTTTACGAAGCGCAAATAGGGATTTCAACAACAAGGCACACTTTATTGTAAGCCAGTGGGAATTTCTCACCTGCGACATCCCAGATCTGCAAGCTGTGAAAAGTCACGTGATTGTAGCAGCCATAAAGGCTGCACTTGCCACTCCCTGCCACTAAGGGTCCCCATTGCTTCTGACACAACTGTCAGTGACATGGGCTGTGTACTGTACATTATTACAAGGGGTCTGTAGGTCAGGGAGTCATAGTAGTCTGTGTAGATCTCTGTTTCTCTTAGGAGCTTCGCAGGGAACAGTGAGTCCCTAAGCTGCCGCCTCCACGCCCTAAAGTGGGGGATTTTTCAATGCACAGGGAATGTTGGGCAAAAATCCCTTTGGATGCACGTTCTTTTAAAAGTGTGGCGCAAGGACGGCCTCTTTGTTCTGGGTCTGTACAGCACTAGTGCGGTGGGATCCTGCTCCGTGACTAGGACTCCTGGGTGCTACCACAGTACAAATGTTCAATAATAATAATAATTTAGCACTGGTGGAAAGTACCGCCCGGTACAGCAGGGGCAGCACAGGGTATGCTTTGCCCCAGCCCACTGCTCTCCGTTCATGTGTGTCCAGCCATCCTGATCACAGAAGGCAGTGTCTAGAACTGGGATGGGAGTTCTGTCTCCCTAGTCCATCCATTGCTTCATCCAGGGACTATTTACTCTCTGTTTGTTCAGTACCTCGCATAATTGAGATCTGCCTTAGTCCCGTAAGTGATGCCCTATAAGAGCGGCCATACTGGAT